GGAATTTTATACGGAGAGGCTCAAAATCTGAGTTTCCATATGTTCGAACGTGGACGTTAATAGAAAAATGTATTTTATGAGAAAGCGTTTAGGCTTTGACCAAATGCGCTCTGGTATTATTATGTTAATGTCTCTGTTTATAAAAACGGCCCCGAGGTCAGCTCAGCCGGTCACTGGGCTGAGGCGAAATCTCGTCTTTGTTCTGCCCCCGGGGTTGAGGATGCCATTGCTGCATGTTACTTATTTCCAAGGCCAGACCACTGAAGGCATCAGCACATCGGACTCTTTCCTCTCCAACTTCCTTTCCTCTGATTGTGCACACCTGCGCCCGTGCACACGCTCACGCCCACCTGGCTGTGCGTTGTGTGTGCGGGTCACGTGCGGCGTCAGAGCTCGCCTGGTGCAGAGCTCCACCCGGATGGGTCAGCGAGGCAGGCCGCCTGTGGTGGTTGTCACGGAAGAGGTTCCATAGTTAGACACATTCCTGACTTTCCCGAACATAGAACACTTACGAAGAGGCAGTGTGGTGCAGCGGAAGGAGCGCCGGCCCAGGAGTTAGGACAGAGACCTGGGTTCTAGTCCTGGCTCTGCCGGTGACCGTGTGACCTTGGGCAAATCACCTAACTTGCCTGAAACAAGGGGTGTTTTCCCTTCCTGCTTCCACCACGGTCGCCCCATAACTGCCTTATGACGTGTGTGTGTGTGGAGAGCAACCGTCAAGGAAAGCTTTAGGGAAATGAGAAAGAAATACATTTTGAATCACGCCAAGATGCTAACCTGAGGATCCTGGCCACAGGACCACCTTGGAGTATGTTTCTGTTGGTCTGTGAGTGTTGAAACCCCCTAAAGCGTGATCCCGAGGGGCTGATGACTTCCTGTCCCTTACACAAGAGGATAAAGTAAGGCTTCTGAAGATCTAGAAACACACTTGTCCCGGATAGGCAGGCTTCGTCATTGGAAGGCATAGCTTTTCCTTGTGCCCTGATAGACGGTGGCTTCGGAAGTGGAATAAGTTCCCTGAAGAGTAGCTGGAAGAGAGTGGAAGAGAAATACTTTTGCTTTTTTGCCGTGTCATCCAGTAGAAAGAAAAGCGCGAGAGAGAATGTGTGTGAGTGTGTGTAGATGTGCAAATGGTGGTGGCACACGTGTGGGGGGGGGGTGGCGATCGGTGGCTTGTTGGTCATTCTGGGCCAGCTGTGAAGTCAGGCCTCTGGCGACGTGAAAAAAACCTTGATCCTGGGTTTGAGAGACATTTTCCGTATGGCAGCTGGTCCCTGTCTCTGCCTGATGGTCCTACTGAGCGCACGTCGGGGAACCGGAGAATGAGTTAGGGAGCCAGGGAGGGAGGTGGGACCCCACGCGATGCCTGCCAGCACCCCGGATTCAAGTACACGGAGACGTCCCCTCAAGTCTCCCAGGCTCATAGCAGCACGTAGGACTTTTTTTTTTTTTTTTTTTTTTTTTTATGTGACTACAACATGAAAAGTCTTTGATTTAGGAATTCTCCTTGTGTCCTGGTTGCCAGAACCAGGTTTCGTGTCCTTCAGTGAACAATCTCTCTCCTCTCGTGGCTACTGTCATTTTTCACATACAAACGGAAACGTTTCCTCCAGCACAACTACGTCTCTGACTGTTGTGTCTGTCTCCTAAGAGCACAAAGCGGATGGACCCGGGGGGGGGGGGGCGGGCTGTGCTTGCAGAGCATCGTCGGAACTCATATTTTAGAAATCTCCCTTGCACGTGAAAATTCACAGGTTGGGAAACCGGTGTGAACACATCTGATTTCCCACGGTTCGAGAGGCACATGGGAACAGGCGGGACTTAATCTGGGGCGGGAGGAGATGAGAGTGGGAGAGTTAGGGAGTCCGATTCTTAAAAGAAAAAGCCCCAAGGCAGTTATCACGTAAGGTATAGGAAAACTGTCTTCATGGCATTCACGCTAGGAGCCCGCTTTCCTCAAAGGGATGATGGCCTGAACGTTGAGAGGCGAGGCCTGTGTCGGGGGTGGCTTTGTGGCTTTCCAGATGCCCCCCCCCCCCCAAGGAGCCCGCGGGCGTGTCCTGCAAATATGGTGGAGTTTTCCTCAATAAGCCGGCCGTCAGCCAGAGAAGCCTGTCTTCCCAAAGTGCCAACGGATCTGGGGGCTCTCATCACCTGGCAGGCGGAACGTGAACCAGACTGGATCTTGCCCTCAGCGTGGAGGCGGCCGGGGGCTGGAGGGCAGAGCCCGCCCACTGACTCCAAGGTGCTTGAGGGTGGTAGAAAGAGCACAATGCAATCTCAAGGGGCTCACAGATCCCTCTTCCCTGTAATGAGTGTTAACCCCGAAGAGGTGCCCCTGCCTATTGCTTCAGATGACCAGAGAAGCCTGAGAGTTTTTGGTTTGGTTTTGTGTTTTTAATTAAAAACTCATCCTCTTCCACAAAGAGCCAATTAGTTATCTTGGTTTTGTGACACCAGGTATGACACCAAAGGCTGAAGTTGCTTAGATTGTCTACAGCATATCTCAAACTTGCCAGGATGCCAGGAGCCTCTGGTGTCCATGGCAACGTTGTGTCCATGGCAAAATATCTATAGCTCGTGTTCCCCGGACAAATTGTTAAATAATATGTTGTCGTCGATATTTTTATTTAAATGCGTATTATAAAAATAGAGGGCCCGTGAGCGTTACATGTTAGAAGCCTCACGTAAAGCACCGTGTGGCCGAATGGGCACAAGCCGTTGAGAGCGTGCGCCGGGCCACACGAAAATAAACACTTAATTTACTGAGAACTGGATTCAAATTCTTCGGTACTGCAGAGAAGGCGGATAGTCTGTTCTTTGTAAAACTGCCTTTCCCTGGTTTTTTCTTTTGTTTCGTTTTTGTTGCTGAAGAGTCATTCTTTAAGCACCTTCTGAGAGCCAGATGGATAAAGACACAGAGCAGTACCGTGCACCCCTGTCGGCTTTTTAGAGGAGAAAGCAAATCGTCCACCCTGGGGAAAATGCGACACTATCTGTGGGCCAGTCTTAATTGGTGTGTGAGAGCAGAGTTGAGTCATCTACTTGAGAAGCAAAATCAAGGAACAGTTTTGGGTTTCTTTTTCCTTAGGCAGAAACGTTTCATGCAAGGTGTGTATGCTTTCTTTGCCTTTATATTTCCTTTCCGCGGAATCTCTTGTACATTACAAAACTGTGAAATGGGTTGCCAAAAAATTGTTGCCCTTGGTTTTAGATGCCTCCGGCAGTGTAAATCCTAAACCGATCCCTGTCTGCATCTGCACCTGCCTCTCTCCCCTGCGAGAGAGGATCTCATCCACCCATGTAATTACCATACGCTTGCTATTAAAGAGCCTTCCAAACTATGGTGGTGTTTGCCTCTTTTTTACTCCCTCCACAATGTTTGGTCTGAGAGGACACCTCATGTGACACAGACAAAGGGACAAAGAATGAGGACCGTCAGCTAGCTTGTGGTTGCCAGTGTCAGGGCTGGGTGGGAGATGGCCGGGGCGGGGCGGGGTGGGGGGGGGGGGGGGAAGAGAGGGAGAAGGCAGTTACGTGAACCACTGACATGATTCAAATGCTGTGGAATTTTGTGACATTGAGATATCTGTGCTGATGTTGTGGCTGGTGTTTAGTTCTTTCCCAGTCTTCCTTCAGACCTAGTACTTTAGGTGTGTATATGATGGGTATGACAACCCTATTTTCCCCCATCATAGTGAGGAATCCTTTGTGGCACCGGCTGGAAACCTGTGGTCACTCTGTGATGAATGACCCTGTTTCCCCACTACTCCCTTCCCAGCTATGACTATTTCGTAAGCAGTGACATTTAAAGGATCCGTCCAAAGTTCGTGGTGAAGTCCCATTCTTTGATTAAGAGCAGGTTTCTTTCGCCAGATGAATAGGTCTCCATAGATTGTTAAATGAGATTTGAGATTGCCTCAGTAGACAACAGCGTAGAGGTTGGTGTGTGTGTCTTAGATAATTTCATTTGCAGTTCTTTGTGTTTGGCACGGCTGTTGTCAGAGATTGGACGTGAGTAGTGGGCTGTGTGCAGGCATTCCCAGTCTCACTCAGTCAACGATTCTTTCTTTCTTTCTTTCTTTCTTTCTTTCTTTCTTTCTTTCTTTCTTTCTTTCTTTCTTTCTTT